ACACACACACACACACACACACACACACACACACCGGTCATTAATTGTGTTTTCTCCGTTCCCCCGCCCACAACCACCCCGGGGTCCTCTCAATTCTCCAGGGTCCTTATAATGAGTCTGCATGACGTGTATGGCTTGGGTATTTTATGATATATATTATTTGCGCGCTATTTAGTTTTCTTAGGATCAACTTGCTTCCATTTTATCCCTGGATGGAAATACGCTAAGGCAGAGGAAAAATCGAGATGCAACATCCTATTCAACGGCGATTAGGACACGCTAAGTACATGTAGTTTTACCAGTGAAGCCTACCCAACAATCTTCAAGATAATAATAATAATAATACATGTAAGAAGAAGAAGAAGAAGAAGAAGAAGAAGAAGAAGAAGAAGAAGAAGAAGAAGGCAAAGACGAAGGAGAAGAAGAAGAAGACGAATGAGAAGAAGAAAAAGAAGACAAGGAAGAAGAATATGTAGGTGAAGAAGAAAGAGAAAAAGATAAAGACTTGCATTTATATAGAGCATATCAGATACTCACGCTCTATGCATGTTTTAGGCCTCTACGCTTTACGACAATTTGTACCTCATCTACGCGTTATCATCACTTTTTCTGAATTTGGGTAGGCCTCTTAAAGTTCGAGTTAAAGTCCTGTGAGATTTATTTAAATATTTCCGGGATTCGATTGCAAGGGTAACGTTAGGGTAACCTAACCCTCACCCTGTGCATACCCTTAAATTAAACCATCTCAAACCCAAACCCAAACCATCACTTCGTTACCCGTATCTAGCAGATGCGAACGTTTAGGTCTGTGTGTGTGGTTGATAGGTGCTCTGATTTGGTTTACATAATTTTTCCAATCAAACATCTATCGTCCTTTTCTCCCCTCCTTCTTTCCTTATATTATGTCACGCACTGGTAACAACTACGGCACTTACATGTCCTATCTGTGTTGCACGCGCCTTAAAACCAGACCCCAGACAAAATTGTGCACGTTCAACTCGAGAACGTCAGAACGTTTGATTACGCTCGTATCGCGCGCAGGTAGCGCCCAAGTCTCGCGCGGACGCGAGATAGGGCAATTGAAACATCTTGGTATACACGATCTTTGTTAAAACCACAGAATTCTACACTTAGTGTAGAATTCTGTTGGTAAAACTTACTTATGGAATCAACCATTGCTTGGAACAGTCAGCATATACACACTTCGAGATGTGCTCCTTCAGGGGACGGAGCGCTTATGGGAATGCCCCGTGTGCAGTGATGTCTGTCCTTCACACAAGTACACCAGTAAACAAGTAAAACGTACTAAAACTAAAATAAGTTTAGGTCTGGAAGATTGCCACCTACTTAACTAGGTCAAATTCAAGACATCTTCTTGGGGATTGAATACACTGCCACCCCCTCTGCAAAAACAGAACCAAATCACCGGCAATGTCTTTAAGAGGCAACAAGCTTTCTGTGTTTCTTTTTTCTTCTGGTTTCAGGCTTGGAGCAGACGTTGACGATCGAGTGGTCAGTTCTCCTGATCAGCTCAGCTTGCGTGTGTGTGTGTGTGTGTGTGTGTGTGTGTGTGT